ATAATGTTACTTAAAGGGTGCTCCAGGACGAGGTATTGTTTACCAAAACCACGACCACATGAGAATAGAATGTTTTGCATATGCTGATTGAGCCGGTTCTAAAGATGATCGAAGATCTACACCTAGTTATTGCGTCTTTGTTGGTGGTAATCTTGTATCTTGGAAGAGTAAGAAACATAATGTGGTTTCTCGTTCGAGTGCTGAATCTGAATATCGAGCTATGGCACAATCTGCACGTGAGATCATATGGATAAGCCATTTATTGACTGAGCTCGGATTGAAGACATCAATGCCTGCTAAATTGTGGTGTGATAACCAAGCTTCTATACACATAGCAAACAATCATGTATTTCATGAGAGAACAAAGCATATCGAAGTTGATTTCCATTTTATTCGAGAGAAGATACAAAAAGGATTGATTTCTACGGTTATGTGAAGACTGGAGAACAACTTGGAGATTTATTCACTAATGGTCTAAATGGGATTCACGTTGATTACTTATGTAACAAGTTGGTCATCATAAATATCTATGCTCCAGCTTGAGGAGGAGTGTGAAAGAATTAGTGTATATAAGAATATGCTTTAGGAACATACTTTAGACATTATTATTGTATAGCATCTTATGTAGGAATATTCCTTCTTTGTAACCTATATATAGGGCCTTAACCCTCTAATATTATACACATAAAATCCTTCTCTCCATGTTCAATATCATTCTAGTTTATACTTTAACATTCATTCTAAACCTTATACCATTTCTATGGACTCAAAAATTAAGCTGTCTAAAAACAATGGAACTGTTTTAGAAAACCCTAAAACATATAGAACTCTGATTGGCAAGTTGCTTTATTTAACTGTATCCAGGCTAGATATTGCTTATAGTATACAAATTCTTAGTCAATTTCTTGCATCTCATACTGATGTTCATTTGAGTGCAGCTCATAGAGTCCTAAGATACCTTAAGAATTCTCCAGGTAAAGGTTTATTTTACCCATGTACTTCTGATTTTTCCATTAAAGGGTAAACTGATTCTGACCAGGCAGCTTGTATAGGTACACTAGGAGGAGTGTTTCAGGTTATGCCTTTTATCTAGGTAATTCTTTGATTTCCTGAAAATCTAAAAAGCAACAGGTTGTTAGTAGATCCTCTATAGAAGCTGAATACAGGGCAGCTACTAATGCAGTTTGTGAGGCTCAATGGTTGTCCTATATTTTCAATGATTTACATATACCAGTTTCCTTACCTATAATTCTTTATACTGATAATAAATCTACTTACCACCTTGCTCATAATCCCATTCAACATCAAAGAACTAAACACATAAAATTGGACTGTCATTTAGTTAGAGAAAAAATTAATTCTGGATTAATTATTTTGCTTCATATTAAAAATGATTTTCAACTTGCAGATATTTATACAAAACCGCTTGGAAATCCTCTATTCAGTCAATTTGCAGTCAATACATGGACATCCATTCTACTCTTGAGGGGGCGTATCAAGAATAATACACTGGGCTGTAACTTGGGCTGATCTTTTTTTGGGGCCTATCTAATGTTTATTGGGCCTATAGTTATTCTCTTATCATTTTACATAGAAAGGTATAAATACCTCATAGTCAATTAACATATTGACTAGGAGACTATGGACTCACTTCCGGGAAAGAATCTTATTTTACTGTTTGGATTAATTTTCCAAACAGTCTCACTTCCACATTCTTCTTCTTCGACAATTTCATCATCACAATTTCAATAAGATTTCTTGAGATAAAATTTCACAAGAGGTCTATAATTTATTTTCAAATGAATTAATGTTTGTGATATTGCACTATTAGCGTAGGGACTACGCTATAACATTATTGGGGTTTGATGATGTCGACGCTTGGAGCATATTCCATAAAAAATACTACGTAGTACTTTTTCATGTGACATCTGTTGTTTTACATGTTATCGTTAATGTGCAACCATCGTGACTTTATAATTAACTTTTTAAATAAATAAACTTGAAAATTAGTAATGTAAATTATATGAAAAATTCACACACACATGTGTGTAAGCCATTAAGTTCAATATATTAATTAGTGTAAAGTGGATTCAAATTCATCATTTATCTAGTAAATTACACATTTAATTTAATATGTTAAGGATGCATAAATGAACAAAGGAGTCGAATTATGGTAAATATTATGAAGTGATTTTCAACCAATCGTATACATGATAAGTTAAATTATATGTACATATGTGTACTAATGATCTAAATACTATACGGATATTATATATTACGGTGTACGTTTAAAACTTATCACAAATATATATACTACAAGGTTAATTAATGGTCAATAATTAACGAAAATATGAACTTGAAATCTAAATCTTAAACGTGTAATGGGCAATATTAAATTTACCTGTAAATAAAAGGGCAAAATTTTAGGTAATATTTATAATAAGGGCAAGTCAACAAATATTATACGTAAGTTATTAACTTAATATGAATTTACCACAAGTAATAAGAAAACTGGATAAGTTCAAGAATATTATTTATATTCATTAAAGTCGGATTATCACTATACCACAAGTAATAATCTAGTTATTATAACAAAACTAATTTGAAATCAGAAATAATACCTATATTAGTACTAAAACTACTAATTATACATGTTGAATTTAAATAGATAAAAACAAATGGAATTTGAAACATTGTTACTCGATTTGGATAGGTTGGCAAGCCCAGCTCTCCCTTCTTCACTCCCACGTGAATTTAATATGCTGGTAGAATTTAATGGATTAATTAGAGATCGCACCCATACAAGTACTCGAATTATGACATTAAATTATGAGTCCAAATGCTAGGTTTGACCCACATAACAACGGTGAGTGCCGATAATAGCCAAATGGTCTTCAACCACAGAGTGGACAATACTAGATAGGTATGTCCTGTTTATCTTGTCCATTAAACTAAAGAGTAAAATTCAAGAAAATTAATGAAAGTATAAAAGTGTGAAAAGGGGCAAAAGTGATAGAGACAATGACACAAGAAAATAAGCAAAAGATAAAAAATGAGCAAATCAAAGATTAAAGTGAGACAAGAAGAGTCGAATGGAATATTGAATTAGAGCTATGATATTTCTTATTTGAATTTTGACTTTGACATAATGGTGAAATAAGAGCAATTTAGTTTTACTAAGTTTTTGACTATATTTTTGTCTATAAATAGTCTGTTTTCAGGACAAAACATGTTCACAAATGCATGTGAGCAATTTATTCACAAATAAAAATCAGTCTTAACACACACGTGTATACTTGTGGTTACAAAATATATACACCACCGTCCCACTGAACTTTGCTAACTTTGCTTTTTTGTTTATCCAAAAATTCTTTGACATTTTTCTCTTAAAGCTAGCAATGAATTAATGATTCTATTGGTTTCTCTCTCATCTGCACAAACATCAATCACGCAATTACACTTTTCTTATTTCTTACCTAATTTGAAGTTTCCAAAGTTTAGTGGGACCGAGGTAGAATACAAATAGTGGAGCAATATAATTTGACTTTGCAACCCATTTTTTGGGTAATAAATATAGGATTATGCACCCTATTGCAACGTCAATTTTTTTATTTTAAATCAGGTGCAAAGTTCAATATCACCCAAAAATTGAAGTGCAAATTAAAGTCATATTCACCCGCATAAAAACTCGGTAATTCTTTTTTGTGAAAGGTGTGCATGGCAGGATGGGCATGCCGCTTACCCGGAAAAGGAAAGTGATGAAACAAGACGTAGTATGACCTTGCTTTCATTGATTGCACATGTTCCATCTACAAATTTAAAAACTTCACTAATGTAATATTCACTTCTGTTTTCACTTTTCTTTTTTTGTGAACGATGTGGATGGGTATTTGGCTTACCCTTAAAAGGAAAGTGATGAAACAAGACGTAGTATGTGACATTGCTTTCATTGATTGCACATGCTCCATCTCCCAAATTTCAATTTTTTGTGAAAACAAATTTACTTTAATATTCACTTTTGTTTTCTCTTTTGATAATTGATGTGTTTCGTATAGGGATGAATGCCATAGTAGTACTCTACAAAATAAAATACTATATATGATTTTTTCCTTAAGTATCACTAATAAAATATTATGGACAAGAATGTGACTTAAAAAATATTAGTGAGTATAATTATGTTCAAAATTTACGTCACATAACTTACATTTAGTTAAATGTTTTGTATTCTACAACACATTTTCTTTTTACTCGTAATATAATTAATTAATATAATTAATTAATTAATTAATTAATTAATAATTAATATAACTAATATAAATAATTAATTAATATAAATAATTAATATAATTAATTGTCCTTAGTTCTCTTGCATAATTAAAGTCACCATTTTGATGGCAGAGTAGTGTAGTGATGGTGGCAACCCTGCAGTAATGGCAAGTAGGTGGTGGCGGAATTCAAGCGATGAGTGGCAATGGTGACCGGTGATGGCAGTTCAACGGCAGAGCTTTGGTGACTAGCGAAAGCCGCCACCGGCTGATGTTAGGTAGGGGCAGTGCCGCAGTGATAGCAGTCTGGTGACAGTCCAAAGCATTTAAGCATGTAGGGATATATATTTATGCATTTGAATGGCATTTTACTCCTATTTTAAGAATTCACCCAAATTTAAAATCTTACAACTACCACCCTACTTCAACTTACTTTGCCTTCAATTCACACTAGGAACTTTATATGAAAATTTCTTCTTTACACGATTTTACTGTTTACACGTTTGTACACTCGTCTGTGCATGCTGTTAACGCATGCATGGCACATGCATGCCGCATACATGCAATTCGGAACCCATATGTCCACATGCAGTGAACCTCCTTACTAATAGTATATTATTGTTGTACATTCAAAATAGTTTGACTTAGAATTATATTTGATCCACTCGTATAGCTTTCCTACGCCGCACATATAGTGATAGGCTTATAGTTTGCTAATCAGTTTTACATTCTTATCTTTACACGTTCAATTGTAAATGTAAAGTGTATTTATACACGTTGAGATGAATGATACGAGTACGTTGAATTCCAATCATCTAATTTGGTATCAGACGCTCACTCTCTTCTTCCTCCTATGGCTTCCGCAAAATCCCCATCATTTCACCCAACTCTTGCTCTCACCAACATAAAAAGTTTTATTCCAATTACCCCCGATCTCGAGAATGTGGAATACTCCTCCTAGACCGAACTTTTTAAGATCACAACCCGTGCCTACCAGGTTGAAGATCACATCTTTCCCGTTGAAACGGATACCTCGATCGCTTCCACTTCCACCAACCCACCTCCAGAACAAACTCCAGAGCAAGTTCTTGCCGCCGCCGCCGCAACAGCCGAATCTGAGGCTCTTTGGAAACGACTCGATGCCATGGTGTTACAATGGATTTATGGGACTATATCCCATGATCTTTTGCACACTATTCTCGAGCCGGACTCTACTGCCAAAGCCGCATGGGATCGCTTGGCCGATCTTTTCCTTGACAACAAAAATACTCGGGCGCTGCATCTCGAAACCGAATTTTCCAATACCCGATTGGAGAGCTTCCCTAACATTGCTTCCTATTGCAATGCTCTCAAAACTCTGGCCACGAAATTGTCCAACGTCGATTCTCCCGTCAACAATCAACGCTTGGTGTTGCGTATTGTGAATGGTCTCCCTCCGGCCTATGACTCAGTTGCATCTCTCATTCAACAAACTGTCCCTCTTCCTCCATATTCCCAGGCCCGATCGATGCTCCTTCTGGAAGAAACCAGGAAGGCTCAACAAAACAACTCCTCACCCACTGCCTTGGTTCATACCGGTGCTCCAGTTGTTGTGCCACAGCCGAATGTTCAACCTGGCCGCCCTCAAAACCACGGCAGGGGGCGTGGCTCTTCACGTGGTGGTCGCAACCGTCCCTCCGGTTCTCCGGCGACACCCCAAACTGCCAACCCGTGGCAAATGCCGCCGTGGGGTTACTGGCGGCCACCATGGAGCATTCCGCCGTGCCCCTACCCATCCACTGCATGGCCCAGAAACCAAAGCTCTCGGCCTCCCTTCCCCGCTGCCGGCATACTTGGTCCACGGCCTCAACAAGCACACATTGCCTCCCCGTCTCCTACGGATATCACCAATGCCATGGCCACCATGTCCCTCACTCACCCGGATGAAAATTGGTACCTTGACACGGGGGCCACATCGCATATGACGTCCAATGTAGGTATTTTCACGTCTTATTTTAATAATGGTTCTAAACAACGTATTATGGTGGGTAATGGTCAATCCATACCCATTATAGGTCATGGCAGTACGTCTCTATCCCCACCCAACCCACCCCTTCTCTTACAAAATATTCTTCATGCCCCTCATTTAGTCAAATTTAATTTCAGTTCGTCGTCTTACTACCGATAATAATATTTCAATTGAGTTTGACCCGTTTGGTTTTTCTGTGAAGGAACTCCGCACTGGAATGCCTCTTATGAGATGTGATAGTTCGGGTGATCTTTATCCTCTTCAGCCATTTTTTTGTCTGTGAAAACAGTGTTCACAGACGAAACGTGTTGTCACAGACAAAAAATGCATGTACAGACGAGTGTACAACTATGTAGCACCGATACCGGTACGCGGAAACGCGGAAACGCGGAAACGGGTACGGGGATACGTCAAAACAAAAAAAAGTAGGATACGGATACGGGGCCATATTTATAAATATTAAAAGTTATGGGGTGTATCTACAAATATTAAAAGTTATAGGGGTCTATTTATAAATATTAAAAATAGTTTTTTTTTGAAAAAATATATATACATATAATATCCTTATGATGTCTACCTATTCATTGCATTGAAGCATTTTCTTTTTTCAAGATACTTAGTAATAAATTCATAATATATTTCTCATATACACTAGTGCATCTCGAAATATAAATGTAGTCAATAAGTCATTAATTTAAAATGAGAAATAAGTCAAACAACTACAATCTTGAAATTAAAAGTGCAAGTACCCAATTCGGAGTATGAGTTAATGACTTAATTCGGATATAGCCATATAGGCCCATTATTTGATTACCAAGTAAAATGTAGTTTTAGATTTTCAATTTTTTTAGAGTTATTAGTCCTAAATAGGACTAAATTATGATCAAAGTTCCTAAATAGGACTAAATAGGACTTCTTATTTCGAATTTACCCTGCTATAATAAAAGCCCTAAATCTGCCCATCTTCGACATCTTCTTTTGCGATGCGATCGATGCAGAAAACTCATCTCCCATGGAGGTCTTCTTCTGCGTACTCTGTACTCCGGCCAGCGCAAACAGGTAATCACACCCCCTTCTTCTCCTTTTCTTCTTTCTTCTCCTTCCCCTCTTCTCCTCCTCCTTTCTCCTCTTCCTCTATTCTCTGTTCCTCTTGCATTTATTCGAATATTTTTTTTATTCTGCCCTAAATTTTGAATTGGAAATCTTTGGGTATGGAAATTCGAGACTCTTGTTCAAAACATTTTCTATCTAAATTATATTATTGTACTCCGTATATCTTTATGAACTTGTAAAAAATGCCACATCTATGGCATTCTTATATGGAGATGGACATTCACATTTTGAAATGCCAGATTTTTGACATTTCACAAATTTTGATATTTTCATGGCATTGAATTGTATTTATTGGCGATACTACTGCTTCATTTTTGTTCCCCAATTTCACTTTTGGACTCTGTAATGTGAAAATGCCATATTTTTACATGTAGAAATGCCATTTTTTTATCTGAAAATTCCATATTTTTACATGTAGAAATGCCATTTTTTTGTCATTATTGTTATCATAATTGCATTTTTTTGAAATTGATACCATACATGCATTCAAGAAGGTAGCAGTGACTAAGAAGATGATTATCTGTAGTGTGTAGAGGAGAATTTAGTTGTGGTACCATTCTCACTGTAGGACGGGTAAGTCGCCTCACCGGAGGTGTGCAGCAGCAGTCTCAGCGGCAACTTTGGTGGAGGTCTTACTTGGCTACGGCGGCGGTCCCGGCAGCAGCTGCCGTGGACGGAAGATGGTGAAGGTGTCCTGGCTTGGAGTTCGCATCTGGAACGAGGCAGCTGGGCCGAAGGTCGGTTAGAAGTTAGCAACGTGGAATGGGCACGAGAAGGGTTTTATTTTTTTTATTTGATCGCACAATTTGGTCTAATCAATTCATTTTTGGTCCTACGAATTATGAGAGTCTTATTTGTGCACTTCAAAATTGATTTAGTCTCATTTAGGGAATTACCTCTTTTTTTTTTATAATTTTATTAAGTAAATTTTGGTTTTTTTTTAAAAAAGGTTGATACGGGTATCCGTCAGGATACGAGTATCGGAAACTTTCAAAAAATTACAAAAAAAATGGAAACTTTTAAAAATTACAGATACGGCCCGGGAACGTACGGTACGGATATCCTAGAGTATCGGATACGGGAATGTATCGGATACGCCGATACGCTACCCTAGGGAAGTATCCGTGCTTCATAGGTGTACAATCGTGCACTACAAAAAAACACGCGTGTAGTCACGGAGGTAGTCACGGACGCCAGTTTAAAAAATCCGTGACTAAATGAGTTAGTCACGGTCGACGGCCGTGACTAATTCCGTGACTTAATGGGCGTGACTAAATGAAGTCACCGCCACATAACCATGACTAAACGTAGTCACGGGTTAGTCACGGTCGGCGGCCGTGACTATTATCATGCCGGAAACCCCACTCCGGCGTGTTAGTCACGGCTCCTGACCGTGACTATAAGTTTTTTTTTTTAATTAATATTAGTAGTCACGGCTGTCGACCGTGACTAATTTTTCAAATTTTCAAAATTTTCAAAAGACCGCCCGCGGTTGTAATATAAATTTTTGAAATTAGTCACGGGTGTCGACCGTGACTAAGTTTTTTTTAAAAAAAAAATAATGTTTTTAATTAAAAACAAATAATAATTTCGGAAACTGTAGTCACGGATAAGGTTGTGACTACCATTTTTGTTTTTTAAAAAAAAAATTCCAGTTTTCGTTTTTTTTGAAAAATGTTTTTAAAAATTACTTTTTTTATACGTATGTTTACAAATTAAATTTAAAAATGTTTTTTGAAAAATGAGTTATTGAAAATATTATACTAATTTTTTTTAAAAAAATTTACATTTTAAAGAGTAAAGACATACAACAAACTTAATAAATATTGTGACAAACTTTTAAATGTTTTGACATACAACAAAGTATAAATGTAAGATGATTACATGTCCCTTCGTGGGACTCCATTATGAAAAAAATTAGGATTTTCTTCATCATCATCATCATCATCAACAAGAAACTCATCTGGGTTCACGGGGGGGTCTTCGGGGTCAGGTCGGGTTCCTCCTCGGGGTGCTCCTCGGGGTCCTCCTCGGGGTGCTCCTCGGGCTCCATGGCTCGGTGGACCACTACCTCCTCCGGATGACCTCGCAAAATCAAAGGACATAGATCCGAAATTCGGGGAGATCATAGGCATGCCACCGTATCCGGAGTTGGGGAAAAATCCCATACCGCCCATGTGCGGAACTTGAGGAGTTTGCTCAGGGTGGAATACGTACGGGGGAGGAAAAGGCTGTTGCGGAGGCTGGAATCCGGCACGCATGAACCGTTCCATCTCCTCCAACCGGGCTTTTGTGGCCTCATCTGCTTTCCGCTGCTCCTCCCATCGTCGTTCGTGCTCCTCCAGTTCACGCTGCATTGTAGCAATACGAGGATCTTCTCCCCGCCTTGACCGAGAAGAGGAAGCGCCGGTGCTTCGATCATACAAAATCCGTTGCCCCTCGGACCCCAAGCACGGAACCCGGCCCTTGTAAACCCCGGCCGCCTCAATGGCCGCCTCATCATCCGCATCGGAATCGAGGTCGTCCTCCTGGGTCAAGCCTCGTGCCGCACGCTGCCTGTCAACGGATTCGTTACGTTGTACTTCGTCTGCATTTTCAAAAAATATTTTTTAAATGCTACATACTTAGATTTGAAATGTTACTAAATAACAAAATATGATGTTACATACTTCGAAGTCAGCGAGGCGGGGTGGCAGATCGGCTTCAGATTCCTCGCCGTGCTTCGTCCAGTAATGCTTGACGAGCCGGAGAACACCAACCCTCTTCTTCTCAGGACCAGCCTAAATGGTGTGAAAAAGACTTAAGTAAATTTTTTATAATGAAGGATTGTGATGGTGTAAGGTTTTTTGAATAGCACTTACAAGAGTTTCTTTATGGGCATTCTGAGATTTGCGACCCCCGTGCCACTGCATCTCCAAGGCCTTCTCGGACATCCGGTTTTTCTTACCGGATTCACTTCTGGCCAAGAATTTCGGATCAGAAGACCAGTGGCGACAAAGGTTGGACCACACTTCATCCGAAACCCATTTAGGCTTTTTCGCACTTTTTCGGGCACGCTTAAAAGTGGCGCGAAGCCAGATCGAAATCCTAGCATTGTAGGCTTTAAGAATATCGGCACCGTTTGCGTGAGTCCAACGATAGCGACCCTTTATTAAAACAAATTGGATTAATTAATCACTAGGTATATATTAGGCCAATACAATTAGGGAGAGAACATTCATTTATTTTTACCTTGAACAGGTTCCACCATAGTTCGCGAACCTTGGGGTCAACATCCGAGTACGTGGCCCAAGTGCCAAGAAAGTGTCCTCCGATTATGTTTTGATGCCTTTGAACACTTCTTCGTCACTTAAAAAAATTAATAGTATTTATTTATATAAGATTTGGTTAGATTATTTAACATTATATAAAATTATTGAAAATAAGGTTTCTTCATAACTACTTACAAAAGAACTTCTGCAGGGGTCACCCAAACAGCTCCTTCGTTGTTGCGCTCCGCTTCGGACATGGGCGCATAGTTAGGGCGGGGAGCCGAGGTCGATTGTTCGTTGCTCATCTAAAATATATTAATTTATTTTGTTTTTTGTTAGAACGCTTATAATAGAAGATCAAATTTTTATGTAAGTATTATCAATTGTCAATGTATATAACATATTAAACTGGGTATAAGTTTAATATCAGGGTCCAATAATTGCTAATAAACAAATACTATAATTATCAAGGAGTTGACACAGTCGACCGAAAAATGAACCGGTTGGAGCTTATCAATGAGTTGACCGAGTCGATTCATTGATAAACTCCATCCTGACGATTCTTCGGGCTACGCCTTGAACCATGGATGGGCTACATCACATGTAGCGACATAATGTCAGTACATGCGCTTGGGAGAGTCCATCGATGACTCAAGCCGTAGCCAGAAGAATCGACAGATTGGAGCATCTCTTTTAGTGCAATTGGTAGAAGTCTTTGCATTATTACATGAGCATCGTGAGTTTTCATGCTCGCCGTCGTGGTAAGTTTGTTCATGTCTACGCATCTAGACAAGTTGGAGCAGTAGCCATCTGGAAACTTCTGAGACGCAAGCCATTGTAATATTGCTGCCTTTTGTGGTTCTGTGACCTGGTAGACTGCTTTTGGAACTTCCTTGCCCTGATATTCTAGATCAACAGAAAGTTCGGGTCTATCACACCAAATAGTCATATCTTTCCTAGCTGCAAGACCGTCTTTAGTTTTGCCTTTCAAATCCATCACCGTGTTAAATATATTGTCAAAGACGTTCTTCTCAGTGTGCATGACATCTAAATTGTGACGGATGAGAAGGTCTTTCCAATAAGGCAACTCCCAGAATATGCTCCTCTTTGTCCACTTATGGGTATCACAATACCCATATGGCTCTTGGTTTGGCTCTTCCATAGCCGTAGGAAAACGTCGTACCCGGTTATAAATTTCTTCACCGGTCAATCTCGGGAGTGGGCTCTCTCGTACCGCTCTGCCTCTAATGAAAGACTTCTTGTCCTTTCGATATCGGTGCCTTTCCGGGAGAAACTTGCGGTGACAATCAAAGTAACTTCCTTTTTTGCTGTAACTGAGCCAGTTGGCACCTGATTTCTCCATGCATATCGGACATCCCATCAGACCGTGTGTGCTCCATCCCGAAAGCATGCCATAGGCAGGGAAGTCGCTAATGGTCCAAATGATGGCAGCTTTCATGATAAACATTTTATCTGATAAAACATCATAAGTTGGTGTCCCAACGGCCCACAGTTCTTTCATCTCCTCAATAAGGGGTTGAAGATAAATGTCTATCTTTCGCCCAGGATCCTTGGAACCCGGACAAATTAAAGACAAAAAGATGAAATGACTTTTCATGCACATGTCGGGAGGGAGATTGTAAGGAGTTAACATGACCGGCCAACATGAATAGTTCTTGCCAAACCTGCCAAAAGGAGCAAATCCATCTGAGCACAATCCCAGCCGCACATTTCGTGGCTCCATAGCAAACTGAGGATGACAGCGGTCAAAGTGTCTCCAGGCTTCACAGTCTGAAGGTTGAGCCATCATACCCTCGTTGGTTTCGTGCTCAACATGCCATGTCATGTGTTTCGCAGTAGCAGTCGAAGCGTACATCCTTTGCAGTCGGGGAGCTATTGGGAGGTAATACAGTTTAGACAGTGCAGACCTATGTCGTGGTTTCTTTTTACCTTGACGAACAGGTTTGTATCTGTCTCCACCACAGAACTTGCAGAACTCAAGTGCCTCATCCTCCTTCCAGAACAACATACATCCTTCCGGGCACGCATCAATTTCAACACAAGGTAGCCCCAACTTAGACATTAACTGCTTCATGTGGTAATATGAATCCGGAAGGGTATGATCTCGCGGTAGCATCCCTCCTACTGACTGCAAGACTCTATTCATGCAAGTTTCAGGGAGACTGTATTCGGCTTTTATGTTCATGAACTCAGTAACAGCGGATAGCTGAGAGTATCCCTCACAATCAGCATACAGAGGTTGGTCGGCAGCTTTTAGAACATCCTGAAATCTCTCAGCCAAACCTTCATCCACATAAGGTTGATAAAATGTCGGATTTTCATCCGCATCTGGTTGATACGAGGTTGAGGCTTCAGGGGGGTCGTTAGGTGGTTGTGGGGGGTTGAACTGAGACGGTACACCGTATGCGTCATATACCATTTGTTGGTCCCACCTCATTTCAGCACGGTCTCCCCACGCACTCATCTCTGGAGGGACGTAACGAGACGAACCTACCGTTTGTGGTATAACAGATGGATCCAAAAGTTCGCCGTGAGAAGTCCAATTATAATAATTGGGAACAAAACCGACCGCGTACAAATCATACCTAACTTCGTGTGGGTCTTTAAATTTGAGATTTTTACACTTTGAACATGGACATCTTATTTTATCACCACTCATATAAGCCGGATGTTCAAGTGCAAATTCAATAAATTCCCCGACTCCCTCGAGAAAATTTGATTGCATTCCGTACAATACCGCATCTTTATCATACATCCAACTTCTATTTTGTTTATACATTATGCCTGAATATTATAATAAAAAATTATATGAAATGCAATGCACACAATTTTAAGTAATTTATTTCACTAAATATAATCAACTAATTTTCACTAAATTAAATGAAATGCACAGAATTCACAACAATAATGCACAAAATATACGTCCCCTAATGCACAATAATGCACATAATTTCACTAAATTAAACATACGTTTAATTAAATCTAACTAATTCATTTAGTTAAATTTAACTAAATTTAACTAGTTCATTCCGTCCCCTTTTAATGCATCACTACGTTTAAACCTACGTTTAGCTAACTAATTTAACTTAATTAACACATCAATAGCTACGTTCAAACCTACGTTTAGCAAACGAATTTTAATTAAATTATTTTTGTAAACCTACGTTTAAACCTACACTAAATTATTACGTTAATGACATTTAATCTTATTAGTAATACACAATTAACAATTCACTAAATTAAATAATATGACCAAATTCAACCCAATAATTTGAACATTGATGAAAACGGTTAGCAACACAAGAGGGGGGGTGAATTGTGTGTGTGTGGAACCGTGGCAGTTTTTCGCCGAGTTCTAGTGTGGGATAAAGGGAATTGCGAAATAGTAAAGTGCACAAGAATTTAACGAGGAAAAATCCCTTGGCTCAAAGGGATTGAAAAACCTCGACCTCTCTCGGAGGAATTTTAAACAACTTCACTAAACAAGCCTTTGAAAGAGTTACAAGAGTGATTCTCCTAATCTACCCTTGAGCCTCCCCAACTCTATCCTCTCTAGGAAGAGTTATGCATCTCTACCTTGCGGGTAGAGAGTCTCTCAGCTTTATCACAAAGCTCTCACACACACTTAACCCGAGGCAGCTACTCTAGCCAATTAAGCCTCAATATTTCAAGTACAATATGAAAGGGAAAGGAAAAACTCTATCTAGAACTCCGTGTGGGCAGTTTCTGGCGCCTTGAACTTGGTATTTCTCTTGAGTGTTTCTCTTGATATTTTCTCGGTCAAGCTCCCTTTAATTCTCTTTGGCTGCTTCGTTTATATAGGCTGTCTTAAGCAGACCGTTTGAGTAATCCTCCTTGAATAGTTGATCTCCTAATCTTGAGACTTGCCTTGATATTTTGAATTACTTTCCTTAGAGTAGCTCTCTTTATTCGGTCTCAAATATGAGTAAATTTGCTCAAGATTCACGAGTCAACATATAAGGAAATAATATTGATTTACTTAACATGCTTTAGTCAAGCAACGGACCATATCAATAAAAATATTCAAGATATTCAAATAACACATAAGAGCACATCAACTTGGGAGAGTATCTTATGCAGCAACGGTTCCAAAAATAATATGGCAAGGAATAATTTATTCTCTTATTATAGCAAGAGAGCAATAAAGTGGTCAAGATATGCAAGTAATGATGCTACGTGTAACTTACTATATGCAAAGATCTCACACAAATAATTCAATCATGGAAGGCAATGTAATTGGTATGGTAAGAAATATTTATTTCAAAAGGAAAAAGCCACTTACGGTAATCTTCCATAAGGCAAGATATTTAATTCATTAATGCTATGGTCAACCCAAAATTACTTGTCATAAAGTAAAAAGCACAATTACTTTTATGAAGCACAATTACGTATAATATTATATGGTCATGCAATAATGCACTCATATTACTTTCCATAAAGTGACTTTCCATAAAGCATATGTAACAATACATTTCACAAAATATTTAATCAATTATAGAAAGGTATTAATGCATGTAAAATATCATACGTTGAAAGACATGCACATGCAGACACCTACTAAATTATGGGACCGAATGTTTCGTGGAACTGTTCTGTCCAGAGTTCATATTAGAACTCTCCGTAGTCGGTTCTGTCCCCCGTTCCATCTGCATGGTTAGTCATCAACAAAACCACATACTCAACAAATTCCCCCTTTTTGTTGATGACAAACATTAGGTGCCATAATAATGATATCCCTGCATATTAGTATCAAGCATAGAAATCAACACATAAAGGGGCACCTGCTTTTTCCCCCTTTTGTCATTCAACAAAAGGAATCAAAATATTTCCCAAATCAAGACATATAATTGTTCCCCCTTAGGAGATGCCGGAAGGTCCTGCATGCCCTCTCCGCGACCAGAAAAAGAGATTAGTAACTGAGATTAGGAAATAAGAAGTAGAACGAATTAGTCAGGAATTAATTAGACCGAGTTCCAGTCTAATTATTTCAAACCTTTCTCTTCCCAGGGGCTTTGTAAAAATATCAGCTATTTGTTTCTCGGTGTTGCAATATTCCAGCCTGATTATTCCCTTTTCCACGCAATCTCTCAGAAAATGATGTCGTATATGAATATGTTTTGTCCGAGAATGCATGACCGGGTCCTTTGATATGCTTATTGCACTTGTATTATCGCATAGGATGGGCGTGCACTTTAAATCAACCCCGTAATCGCTTACTTGTTGCATGATCCACAATGATTGAGAGCAACAAGATGCGGCTGCTACATACTCAGCTTCGGCTGTTGAAAGAGAAACTGAATTTTGTTTCTTTGAGCTCCAAGAAACTAGACAGGGACCTAGGAAGTGAGCCGTTCCAGACGTACTTTTTCTATTTAGCAAATCACCTGCAAAATCAGAGTCTGAATATGCAATAAG